GTTTGGATTCCAAATCTGCAAATTCACCTCTTCTGTTGTTGTTCGCTTTGTTTGCAAGTTTCTGTTGATCATCTTTGCAGTCATGGCTTCGTTCTGTGTCTCCTTTCTTGTGTTTCCCTGCTGCTGCTTCATTTGCATTGCCCTGCTGCCTGCGGGGCTGTCAGGACAGAGAAGATGAGGTCGGATCATGTATGGCATGCCCTTGGTGACAGCCAGGTGTTATTAATCCCCCCTCCTCTTGCTTTACGTGTTTCCGTAGAGCAGATTTCTCTAACTGTAGCTTCCCTCGGAGTGCTGTAGGTAAATGAAAAGGCGGGGCTCCGATCATAAATCTAGACTGGGTGGGGGGGACGTTGTGTGATTAGATTGGGCCTCACTGATGAAACGGCCTCATTCCTGCTGGAAAACAAATCATTTTGTTTTTTCCACACCTCCTTCCTCCTCCAGCTCCACTTCATTACCGCTGACTCACCACCATCAGCCCCCCGCTCTTCCCTTTGCCTTCACCTCTGCAGTTAACGTTTTCTTCTGAGTCATCTCTCCCTATTGTTTCTCAGCCTTTCCACATCCACCCCACTCTTCCTTTTGTTTTTACAGATACTCTACCCTGATCTGTTTATGCTTTACTGTGTCCTAGCACTCCATTTGGTGCCGAGTTTGGTTTAGGTTTGGTTTAGCTCGATCAGGGAAAAAAGCATTTTTTTTTGGCATGTACTAAAGGTTTTCTGTTTGAATTTTCAGGAGCATGACACTTGCCTGCCCCCTAATGGAGACTATAGTGGCAGCAGCGTGGTCCTGGTTAACCCTTTCTGCCAGGAGACCCTCTTCATCAACAGAGACAAAGCCTCTGCCATATAGCGACGGTTCCTGCTCCCCCAGCCTCCTCCTGCTGCGGCCGTCTATTTTATACACGGGGTAAAATATTCAGAGACTTTTAACAACACAAAGAGCAACCCGAACGAAAAGCGACATTAAAACAGACGCTATTTATGACGAGGATGCACCTGCATATTTTTCTGATGTACATTTTCTACAAGAAGGCTTAATTGTGATAAAGGTTTCTATTGTCTTTATATAATACAGAGTATATGTGAGTTTTGTCGCATTACAGTGGCTTAATAGTAATTGCACTGTGGATGTTTGCCACATGAAATCTGCTTTAGAAGATAAAGGTGTGCTATGAAACCTTTAAAGCTGTTATTTGTATATTTTTTTTCCTTTGAAAATTAATTCCAAAATACAAAAGCCTGCTGAACTTGAACATAGCAACTACTTATTTAAGGAGGAAAACAGAGATGAAAAATCAGGGCCTGTGTTTATCAACTCTTCAGAAAATACAGATCCAATCAAAAGTTTACATCATTCATCATCAGCAAAAAATTTCTTATTACTTGAGGCTTTTAATGATTTATTTTAATCGTTTGTTTTCCAGGCTGAAATGATTATACAAAATATAACTGCAATTAGTTTTAAAAAGAAGTATTGGGTGGCTAAATTTAAATTTATTGTGCATTTTCTCAAAATCCAAACATGTTTTCACCTCCACAACTATTTGTCTAAATGTCCCTTAGCAAGTTTAATCCAAACTGTATGGTTTTATTAGCAATTAATAAGGTTCTGGCATAATTCTAAATTAATATTTGATTAAACTGGTGGAGTTAATTTAAATTCCTCTGTGTTTACAAGACAATAATCCCGAACACGCCTTAAAGAATAGATCTAATGTGGATAATTCAAGCTTCCAGAACAGCACTGACCTCAAACCAGATAAAAACTTGGACTTGTATTTAAAAAAATAGTCTTATAATTAACCAATTTAAATGAATGCTTTAATTTCTATCAAGAAACCATGTCTGATTTCTTGTCAGAATTATCCCAAGATTAAGTTTAGGTTGTTTACTGGAAGTAAAAAGTAAAAATGTCTCATCCTTAGAGACAACTTTTAAATTTAATTGATGTTTCAGCTAATTCCACACAGGAAATGCCTTTGGGGAAAGTTTGCTCATAAAAACTGCTTTGTTTGAATAAAATGAAAATATAAATGACGTGTGTTGTATATTATGATAAATATAATGTCCTTCATTTTGACATTTTCAATAAAAATGTTTCAACAATTAACATTTTAAAGTTATGAAAACGTTTATGTATTTATAGATGAGCCTGATGAAGCAGTCTGGTAAACGCAGGCCCAGATTCTACTGACTGATTCGACCAGAATATTCAAGAGCATTTGGATTTTAGAGAATTCGATTGATCTAAAATGGCTTTTCCTCTGACGCGTCACCAGCTTTTCTGAGGAGGGACAATGTAGATGTCTTAATTTCTCATGTTGGCTCTTCATGTACCTGTGGTGAGGATGTGGGTGTGATAGAGAGAAATTAACAGCTTGTGCACTGAATGAGCATTTCAGCGTGACCAGATGAATTGTACCCTGTTTACCAAATATCCTGGTTACTGAAGGTTCACCATGACTTTGGGTCTTTGTTTGCTCAGTTTGGTCCGTTTGTCTCTACGTCTGCCTCTGAATGTCTGTCTGTCTCTTGTCTATGTTGTGGAGGGAGCTTTTCAACACTGTAGGAAACAAAATAGCTCATCCTCTCTGCTGTAACCGTCTCCATTAATGTGTTTGTTGAAGTGTTGGATGATTGTCAATCGCATAAAAATACACTGAGGCAAACAGTGTGTGCTGAATATGTCCTGTAAGAACTGGCTCAATTGAATAGTTTGTGGTCCCGCTGTCATCTGTTTCACTTTTGCATTGCTGCAGTTTAAATCAATAATCAATGCTGGCTGCTGCCTCTGTTGTTGCTAAAGATTTTATTTTATTTTTTCGCGTCGCAAGGCATCAGTTCTGAAATCACCAGGTCAAAAGGTGGTGCTGAACGACACAGCTACACATGAAAATATCTCCTGCATCAGATGCTCACAGCTGGGCTTGTTGTTTTGCACGCTCAAAATGTGAATATTTTAACAAAACGTTCAGTGGCACGGTGGAGCAGTGTTTAAACATAATGTTATTTTTTGTACTGTAGTATACACTGTACTTTTTACTGCTGAGCAATAAAACAGAAGAAAAACACCTGAATGACTGACTTTGCCTCATTTTTGGAGTGTTTTTAATTACCAAATATTGTGGTTTACAAAAGCATTGAGCTTTTTCGTTGCATTTCATTCAAACATACAGTTCTAATTGACTGTAGGGGGGTAAGAAATGTGAAAAGCTAAGCATAATGTTGTTTCCTTCTAATGCAATTTGTTGTGTTGTTTTGTAAAATAACATCCTCCTCCCAAAAAAATGTAAGATTTTGTGGTTGTAACATTACAAAATGTGGAAAAAACAGAGGGAAAACATTAAACCTGCTATAGATTTTTTTTTTTAGATTTCTAAGTTAACTATACTGCCTGTCCAAAAACATCACACACACTAACTTTAATTAATGTAATTAAAGCTTGTGTATTTAATTTGTTAAATCTAGGTGGTGACCTCTTGGACAGGGATAGCAATCCGGTCCAAGTAGTCGTGCCGACTGCAGCACATTTATTGATGGAGTGAGCTGGAATTTTCCTTTTGTGAACCACAGCTGCGTCTGTGTAAAGCCCACCCATGACTCCTGTAATGTGATGTCAGGCAAAGCTTCAGTGTCACAGCTGAGGAGAGAGGCAACTTTGACATACGTGTTACCTTCAGATTTGTGGGAATACCTCATGCCTCCAATTAGAAACCAGCTGTTATTTTTAGAACCAGATTTAATCCTAATAGTACTAAATGTAGTTAAAGGAGATTGGTTCTCTATGTAAAAATAGATCATATTTGCATTATTATGACTTCTTTCTGTAAGGAAGAAGTCATTACTTCAAAAGCAACATAAAATACCATATTCCAGATTGCAAAAGCATCCAGGAACGAAGAATATGATTGTTAGTGATACGTCATGTGGTCTAATGGAACTTGGTGTTTTGCCATAATGACCATTGTTGCATTTGGAAGAAAAGGGGCCACTTGCATACCTGAAATCACCAACAAAATTGGGAGGTGTGGGGGTGGCAGATGAGAAAATATATGAAAAATGTTGAAGCAACACCTCAAAATATCAATCAGGAGGTTAAAGCTTGAGGGTAAATTGGTCTTTCAGCTGGATAAAAACCTAACACACACAGCTGCATTGGTTACAAAAGGGGCATAAGGACAACAAACTCAATGTGATCACAAAACCCTGATCTCAGTTCCATTAAGACTTTGCAACTAGAGCTGAAATGGTGTGTGTGAGCAAGGAGTCTGTTTGAATGTTTGACCTAAATTACACAATTTAGGTCAAACATTTTGTGCATATCAAGGAAATATGCCAAAAGAAATTATGAAAGAAAATCTAAAAATAATAGATCACATTTGCATTATTCTGGCATGTAGCAAACAGAAATAACAATGGTGTTTTTTATGTTACGTTGTGTGAGAAATGTAAATGTACGAATAGATATACACTGAATATGGAGTGGGGTATTTTCTCTCTTTAGCAAACGCATACAAAACTATTATTATTATTATTATTATTATTATTATTATTATTGTTATTGTTATTATTATTATTATTATTATTATTATTATTATTATTATTGGCAAAGAAATAATAATAATAATAATAATAATAATAATAATAATAATAATAATAATAATATTATTATATTATAATTATATTATTATTATTATTATTATTATTAGAGAAAAAGGCTATAAATAAATAAATAAACAAATAAATAAATAAATAAATAAAAGTAATTATTATTGTAATAATAATAATATTATTATTATTATTATTATTATTATTATTATTATTATTATATTATAATATAATTATAATTATTATTATTATTATTATTATTATTATTATTACAATAATAATTACATTTATTTATTTATTTATTTATTTATTTATTTATTTGTTTGTTTGTTTGTTTATTTATTTATAGCCTTTTTCTCTAAAATGCTTGACACACATCCGGGTCATGGTCGAAGTGTTTCCGGGAGACGACACAGGTTTGTCAGATATCCCGTGCATGGCATGGTTGACAGGATAGTCGGCGATTGGGGCGGGATAACTTCTTATACATTAGTCTATCCGCTTGTTACAAAAGTTAAACATAAAAATCAGGACTAACTCAATCTCTTCCAGTCGTCTCGCCAGCTGTCCTCACTCTGCGGTCGCGTCGTTTCTCACTTGTCATTGCTCGGGTTAGCTAACTAACGTTAACGTTGCTCTGTGCGAAAATGGCGGATGTACAGTCAGAGAAGAGTCTGGATGATTTCTTTGCCAAGCGGGATAAAAAGAAGAAGAAAGAGAAGGGCAAGGGGAAGGAGACCACGACCGGGCCCACGACGGCCGCGGTGAAAAAGACGAAGAAAGAGAAGGAGAAATCTGCGAAAAACGAAAACCAGGACGCTCAAGTAGAGAAGGTAACCGACGCTGCTGATGCTGCTGTTCGGGGGGAACTTTTTGTCTCGTACCGGTGTCGTGTCAAATTTGGTTACCAGAACGGAATCCGTGCTTCTGGAAGTGTTGATAAACGAGATTTTACTTTGTACTATGTTATTTTTGAATGTCACGAGTGTACATTTTATCTACATGATTAGAATAAATCTCTGTTAGTGGCTAACATATGCTTGCCAATGGCGCACATTGTGACATGATACCAAAGCAGACATGACACCCATGTAATCCCTACCTCTAATACTTTTTGATGCAATAACTGAGCTGTCTAAACACAGATGCATCATCATAAATTAGAATATCACTGGAAAGTTAATTAATTTGTTTGGTACATGTAGTATAAACTCATTCCACCTAGCTTATAGCAAATGAAAACAGCAAATTTAGTTAATCAGAAAATTTGGGCATTACAAAAGATAAATAACTAAAATAAAAGGGATTGTAGCAGGCTATGGCTTTTTACAGTCACGTTGCCAAACGTTATTGCTTACAAAGCTGGCTGTTTTCCAGAGTGCTCCACCCAAGAATATTGCTAGAAAGTTGAGTGAAAGGAAAAAGTGTCTGTAAGAAAATGTTCAATTCAGGAATTTGGGTTAGTTTCACAAGCTATGACTGTGGTTGGTGTCTGTTCTCCAAGAGTCAACAAACACACAGACAAAGCCAAGGCAGGATCTGTATCTGTTGCAGTTAGGTAGCCACACCTGCGTATGAAGGATGATTAGGACAAGAAAAAAAAGAAATCACACTTCAATCATAGAATTCTTCTCAGGAAAATTCAGTTATGAAGAAAAAGTCTGAAAATAATTTGCTTTTTCAGTGTCCCTAATCCTCTTTTGTGCCTTAGCTAGATGTATTAAAAATGACTCACTTGGATTAAGGAGCAAAACAGCTGAACTGGTCTTCCGAGGTTGAATGTCTCTGGAGAATCTAGACAAAATGAAGGCCTCTGTTAAAGCAGCTTGGATGTTGTTAATGTCTCCGCTGTGCTGCAGTCCGATTACCTCCATGCCACTCAGCATTGATCCAGTAATTCATGCAAACAGAGCTTTGACCAGATATCGATTGAACACTGTGTGCTGTGATTGGACATACTTATCGTATTGGCTGACATGTCTGTATTAGAAATCATTTTATTTTATTTTATTAGTAATGTTCTGGGAGAAATGATTATAGCTTTTTATCAGTTGTAATCTGTAATAATCAAAATTAACTGAAATAAATGCTTAGAGCATATCACACAAAGTCTAATAAATCCATACAAGATACAAGTTAGACCTGTAGAAATGAATTACTGAAATAGGCTGCATGTTGCTTGATACAGGAAGTAATTTTGGATCTGATTGGTAAAAGAAATTACAAGATTATTCCTATATTATGGGTTTTTTGTTACTATGTTATGTGATGTGAGTTCATAGTTTTGCTGCCTGTAATGACTGGGGAGAAGATCTGATTTATTTATCAATTAAACTGTCTCAGGTCTTTACCTGGCTGTTTGAGCATTACTTTAAATTCAGAAATTCACAAGTTATCTCTGTGCTGTAATTGTAATTTTATATTGAGCGCTGTTTTACTGCCCAGGAGGACGAGGAATGGAAAGAGTTTGAGCAGAAAGAAGTGGACTACAGCGGGCTGCGGCTCCAGGCCTTACAGATCAGGTGAGAATAAAACAAAGTGTTTTCAGCTGCTGTTGGTTTAGGATGAATCCTTTTTTCATTACAATTTAATCCAGGTAGTTATTAAAGATGTTTATTGAGAAACAGGACATTCCTGGTGAGTAAATTCACATGCCCAGGATCACTTTTTTAACGTGCTTGTTGTCTTTTCATGCCTTCCTATTTCCATTTAGTGCCTGAGACAAACAGCTTTGTACCCATGGACTCAAATCCTACACAGCATTGTACATTTTGATATAAATTCATGTAAAAATTTCTCAAATCTCACATTATTTAACTGAATGTCATTAATTTTTGTTTTGATTTCATTTGAGACTTGACAATATCTATGAAAGGTCCGATTATGATCTCTGATCAAACTAATACAACTTTTAAGTAATGTTCTGGTGGAAGATAGTATTTTTTGGACTCAGAAAACAGAAACAGGTGTTGAAGCAGCTGCCAAATATGCGCAAAAAAGGTTGTCTATGAAGCATCTAAAATTGTAAAGTATGAAATGGAAAAAGAGTAGAATGACCCACTGAGTATGCAAATATGTTTTATCAGTTCAACATGTTATTTTATTTCATTTTATCTTATCCTGTATAAAGGAGAAGAAAACAAACATTCTTACCCTTAAAAACAGACTTTTTCAGGACACCAGTGACAGAATATGTGTTTATTACTAAACTTCCCACATTAACTGCATTTAATGATATTTGCAAATAAATTTATGCTCTAATGGAACCAACAGTGAAGAAATTAGCACAAAAAAAACAGCAATTGTTGTTACAATAAATCAAAATTCCTATCATAATGGTAAATTTTCCACAGTAACAATAAACGATGTAGATCTGTGAACAAAACGTTCCCAGCAAAGCATAAATACATGTGTTTAATTTGATGATTCCACCCAACCATCGAGTGAGAGACCTGGTGATGGTAGTCTGAACAACAGCCTTCTAGTTTATTGCCTCGTCACCAAATACTCTGGAGTAGGTTGCTTTTTATAGCCCACTATTTAATACCCTGTTGACCATCTGCTGAACTTGTGATTGTTTGCAGTGATGAAAAAGAGGAAGAGGAGTATGAGAAGGAGGAGGTAGGAGAGGATGGAGAGATAATTCTGGTCAGTGGAGATAAAGTGTCCGGTCCCTGGAACAAATCTGGCGCCGCTCCTCCTCGTGCCGCTTCACCTGTGGGTGAGTGAGCTGCTCTGTGTATAACCAGCAATAAAAGGACATTGACTGTGTTTAGGATTTGTCTAATCTAAGAGTTTATGACTTTTTTGTTGAATCATATTAAAAGATTGTTGTTTTTTTATGTGTTTTTTTTCTCCCATTGGTGCAGAGGAAGAGGAGGCGCCTGAAGCGAAGCCTCCAGGAGTCTATCGCCCTCCAGGCGCCCGACTGACCCCCAGCAGAAGAGCCCAGAACCCGGGTCCGCCTGAGATCTTCAGCGACACACAGTTCCCCTCACTGCTGTCCACCGCTAAGCACGTCGAGACTCGCAAGTAAGCAGAGAAATGGGCCTGGAGCGATTGATCAGATTAACCGTGATTATTATTGTCATCTAGTTTAGTAATCAATTAATGGTTAACTGTAGAGTAAGAAAAGTCCATTTACTAAAAGGAAAAAAAAACATATTCAGCGGAGTAATTAAGATAAGAACACCTTTTGTCTGTAAATATGTTTTACCCAAAACTCGTCAAGTGGGAGTTTTAGCTTCCCCCAGCTTCAAATCCACTAAAGGAAAGCTACATTATTTCATTTTAGGCAATAAATGTTTATGTTCTTATTTATTTTTCTTATTTAAAAAAGGAATTTGTTTGGCTCATTTAATGTATTTCTAATATTACATTTTAAAAAAAAGCTTTGGAAAAAATCTACAGAATGTGCCCTTTTTTAAATCAATTAATCATGAGAATAATTAATAGAATAATCAGTTACTAAAATAATCATTAGTTGGCATTTATTATATCGTTTATCATTTATTGTGATAAGATTCTTATGAGACGACTGCTGTTTTATTATCTCATGTTAAAAAAGATTATACTTCCATATTGTCATTATTATTTTTACTATTTTCTCCAGTTTGTATCATGACTTCACTAAATTTGAAAATATGGTTAAGTGAATTTACTGAGTGCATTTTAGTGATACAACTCACACTACTTTATGCGTTTGCTGTCTTAAGGAAGTACATTACAAATGCGTCTGTTTTTTTTAAAATGCAGTATTGCTGTTATTGCTGTGTCATGCAGTCGCAGCCATACAGTCACCTAAAGACATATTAAATAGTTTTTATTGCCACTGTTGTTATCACAAAATATAGCAATAAAACTCTAAGTCCACATGGCCTACCCCTCGTTGCAGCCCGAATCAAGACGTCGAGGTCAGATTGACGGTTTCACCGACTTTTATTTGCGTTTCAGAGACAGAGAAATGGAGAAGACCTTTGAGGTTGTGAAACACAAAAACCGCGGGAGAGAAGAGACCGGCAGCGGCTCCGTGCAGCACTTGCAGCTCGACAACCAGTACGCCATCCTGGGGGACAAGTAGAGCTGCGTTCCCGACCCCCTGCCCCTTCCCTCCCCCAGCACAGTCCCCCCTCGAAGGAAGCTGAACTACAGCTGTGCTGGCTGCAGTCCCAAAAGATCTCCTTTTGCCGCCACCCTTTACACCACTCACTCACTCACACGGTCATACACAACACCCCCTGCAGACACACTCCCTTTAAATAATTCACTCAACACGGTTTGGTTGGCAAAACTAGAGGATTGCGTCAGAAGGGGCTGACGAGAAAGGGGAATAAGGAAACCCGAACGTGCGACGCTGCAGCAACAACAAACAGAGAAGTAGTTGCCCTTTGTGGATTGTTTTCAGAGCAGCAGTTGTGTGGCAGAACTTCTCTCTGGACTTCAACTTGCTTTGACAAAGCCACAGAGGATCAAAGATGACTTTAGGCACGATGATCTTACAAACTTCTGTGAAAATATCTATTTTTTTGCAAGATCTTTACAACCCAACCGCACGTGGTTATATTGAGGTGTGTTTATGTGTTGCATTTGGGGCTTCGGGAGGCGGGGAGGGATGCTACCGCAGCGGCACAGCTGGTGGCGACGACATGGACTGAGCTTTTTCTGTGTTGCTGTGGTGGTTAAAAAGAGGCGGGGCTAACACCGAGCTCCACCCCCTTTCCTTCCACATACAAGCCGGCCTTCAGGCTCTTTGATTTAGAAACTTGAACCTTTTTTTTCCCCCAGTTCATTCGTTGACGATGACACTGCAAAGATCTACAAACACGAAGCGATAAGTTGCATTTCTCATTTAGAGTTTCTATATAAAGTGGCCTTATTGGTGGAGAGCGACTGTCATCTGAAGGGTTGTCTGATAGGCCGGTTTCTGCCTCTGGATCGAACCACTTTCATCAAACTAAGAGGGGGGGAATCAAAGCAGGAATGTAGTGCTGTTGTAGTTTGCCTGATGATGATGATAATGATAACAACTACTAACTCTTTCATATCCAATGTTTGAACTTACTGCTCCTTAATTTTTTTTTTCTTCCAAAATCTGAGAAAGAATAATTAAAGCTTGTTTCTAATCCTGCATCGTTCGGTTTTGATAACAAACCCTTTGCTTTGGTTTGACACCACGAAGTCGCAGCCTTAATGTTGGGTTTTAATCGAGGCTTTTCATAGGTCATCGGGGGTTTAGTCCTTTTTGAAATCATGACGTTTGTGAATAATTTGACATCTAGAAGCATTCAGTGATTACCATTTGTGTCTCTCCCCCTAAAGTGAGTAATATTCTGTCACAAAACAGCAGCAACACCAGTTAAAATGCACAATTGTTCTTTGGAGGATTAATATTTTGGATTTATGTACCTTGTATGTTCTTCCCCCATGAAAGCGAGTACCTTTGGATGGAACTAGATCATATCCATGATGAGAAGAAGCTGGTCATTTTCTTTTTCTTTTATTTGTTTACAGAAAAGTTATTGTTAATCTGTGAACCCAAAGGCTTGTATGAACCCTTCTGTTCCTCTCACAAAAACATCATTAACTCCCATGTGGTCTCATTTTATCAGAGTAGGTGTTCCTGTCTTTCCCTCTTGTGTTTGAGCAGATGATTAACGAATAAAAGTTCCAGCTCTTTGGAGAAATAAGAAAAAAATATCACATGATCTTATACCAAGCATATTAACAAATTAAAAAATAAAGTTTTCTCTAAAAGCTGACTTTTATAATTTGTTTAAATACATTTTTTCGGCCATTTGATCTGCTTCTGTGCTTGGTTTCTTTTATCTGCTTTTGCTGGTAATACTTTTTTTTTTGTTAATTCTTGTAGTGAGATCCTTGATTACACAACAAAAACACCAATCAGGCACAACATTATGACGAGAGAACAATCAATCGTGATTATTTAAATTGCCAATTTATTTAGTAATCGGTTAATGTAAACTAGTTTACAGAATTTGCTGAAAGAGCAGAGCAGTAATTAAGACGGTGTACAAAAACACATTTTGTATTTAACATACAATTTTTTTTCATTAATTACAGATAATTCAAAAGCATCTGTAATTTCTAATATTGTATAAAAAGGCTTAAATGAAAAATCAGCAGAATGCAATTTTTTTCATCTGATTGTAACAATTGATTCATCGACTTGAATGCTCACCCTAATTTGGAAAACAAGAGGTTGTGTTGCTGCCTTAAGGGAGTGGTCTTATTGTTTTGCTTGATTGGTGGTGTGTGCAATCAGTCACTCTTCACAAGAACTACTTCTCAGTTCAGCCAGGTTAAAATGAATCCGTTCATGTTCTCTTATACATTCTGAACTGAACTGGCAGCTCCAACGTCAACCAGCTCCTCTTTACCAGATCTTGTATGAAATAAAATTTAAAAACATATTCAGTTGTGCCCATAAGTTTACATACTGTGGTGGAATTTCTTGACTTTATAGACATTTTTCAGACAACATAAATGATGACACAAAAACTTTCTTGTCACTCACGGTTAGTGGTTGGAAACCATTTATTGTCAAACAACTGTGTACCTTTTTCAAATCATAAAGACCCTAATTTGAGCGTCCAAGTTCAGCAAACTGCATCATTGAAGGTGAGTTTACCTAATAAATCTGTTATTTTACTTACTAAGAAAAATCTAATTTGATATGTTATTTTGTGTTAACATTGACTAAAGTATTTGTATATCTACTATTTTGTTCCTGGCGCTGCATTTTGTAAAACAAAGTTTAAAAACTAGCTTAATGGAAAAACTGCCGTGATGTCCTCTGCATCGTCACCAACATTTTAATATCCAAGTTGTAAAGTTGCAGTAGTCTAGTTCCAGCAGCTATATCTCGATCTTGCTATAAGGAAACAAATCATTTTATGAATAAGAAAACGTAACTAAAAAATTTCAGAAGAAATTTAAACCAGACTGCCCATCGGTTGGAACCCAGCACTCTGATACTAAAAATTAGCATCAATGCCAGCGTAAACTACATAGTACTCAACAGTATGTGGAGAATTACAAGCATGTTGACTAACATGGACTTATATTCCGTTCAGTATCCTAAAATTTGTGTGTAAGCTGAAATTAGCAAATGCTAATGTTAGCCTAAATGCTGTCACTGGCATGTGGGGTATCACTAGAATGTTGTCTTACTCTCACTAACTCTATTCAGTATGGTATACATAGCTAATAAATAAATAAAAATAAAAAATATAGCTAAAATGCTTATTTTAGAGAAAAAGCTATTGCATATAAACATGTTTCCACCACATCTTACTGTTGATGCGAGGAGCGGCCATATTGAAACACGATGTCCTCTTTAGAAGTAGCTGGGTGTAAACTGGGATTTGCTCCCAGTTTCCCAGTGGGAAATCTAGCTTCAGGGGACGTTCCAGTCGATTTTTTTCCGACTGGGAAGTTGGCATTTCTAATTTCCGAGTACAACTTGAACGCAGCATTAGTCCTTAGGCCGCTGTCGCTTTGGGAATCATGTCGGCAGCTCTTGAAATTGGTGTAGTTTTCGAAGTCTATTTTCCCAAAAAACTCATTCTCTTTAGGAGCTCAGTGATAATGGATGTATTTTGAGTCTATTTTCCCTCCATAAATGATCATCTTATGCCAGTCTTACATATAAGATACGGAAATTGGCAGGAGACTGATGGTATTTTTTCTGTGGAGAAACTTCTGTTCTTGTTATGTCATTTTATTGTTTTTATTTAATAATAATTTCTAAAATAAATGATTCTATTATCACAAAAATTTATTAAATCTAACTTGCATGCATTCTAGCGCATATACCAGTAAGGCCACAAGGTGGTGCTGTTGTTCACCGAGGAAAAAAGTTTCACTTTCATTTAAACACACAATTTCAGAGTTTCTGTAATTGAAGGCAGTTAAATTTTCATTACTTTAATATCTGGAAGTGGGTTTAATTTATGTCAAAATACGTTGCATGTGTCTGTTATAGTTTTGTTAATGTTATGTTTTGTCAGAGTTTACTTTGTTTTGCAGTTTTTCAGTTTTGTGTAATCCAGGTTTTAGTGTCTGTTTTCTATCCTGTTCAGTCGATCTCAGATACTTTCTCTGGTTCATCGTATTTCTACTTGTTCTGTTTCCTGGTACTAAATACCAAAAGAATAACTGTACTAAATAAGTAAACAGTTTCATACATTTGTGATCACATACCATTATTTTGAAAATTTCAAGACTTTTATGCCTTCTTTGACTTTTCAGAAATAGTCATATCTCAGCACATTTTGCTGCCAATCAAAAGATAATTATCTGCACCTTTGGTTGATCTCCTTAGGCAACACCTTTCCTAATTACACAAACACACCTGATGCATTTAAATTCAAAAGCCAAGTTTAATCAGCTTGGATTTGGACAACATGTATAAAAATGGGAATATTATCAAGACGAATATCATGATTGTACGCCAACTTACAGGGGACGGAAACGTACTTTAAAGTGAGACAATCTTATGCTGCCAATAAAAAAAAATTGGTTAATTTTGTTTTCAGTGCCACCTGGTTGAATCTTTCAGTTTTTTATCTTCTTTCGCCAAAGCAATGCAAACATTTTAATCCGTCATGACTCACTGTAAACTCACAGTTCTGTCCTTTCTGCTAAAACTGTGTTCGTTGAATTAAAAGAAGACCTGGAACTAATCTGCTGCACCTCTGAGTAAACTGATTTCAACACTGTTTGTTTTCCAAAGAGTCCAGGAAAAAAAAGCATTGGGGCAAAGGTTCATGAAAAAGCCTCCAAAAATCTATTTTTCCTTTCTGAAAAGTTGAAAGACTAAAGACAAAAAACAAATATGCAGCATTAAGTTTAAAGAGTTTGGCCTAACGTAAAAAAAACATATGTATGCATGTTTTAGCAGGAAATTTAACTTGCAACACTATGTACCAGCAGATAAAAAGGAATAAAATCTTCATGTGAGTCCGTTGTAACCTGAATATAAAAGTAAAATGTCTGAAGGTAAATATAGTCCAGTTACAGTTTATATAGTTACAATAATCAAATCTTTCAGATCCAGTTTCATTTTGCTGTTTATAATGTTAATAAAGCTTAAAATGTCTAATATTTAACTTTTTTCTATATTATATTTATGTTTCCATGCTTAGTTTAAATGTGAAAACAAGCTAGTTCCTAATTTGAACTGTTGAACCCTTTATTATAAGTTACTTAGAGTAGATACAACTTTTAATACGTTTAAACTCTGCATTTTAAATCCTGATACCAAATTTTTATTCCTACTCACAGCATTTTGTTAATAACTCACCATATGTAAATAAATGCCACTCTATTCACAAAATACATTTCCATGTTTTATTTAAATTCATGGCTTGAATTTAGGAGCGCGTATTCTTCTCCATGGATTCGCAGATACGTCTTCCTTTTTTTTAGCATTTTTCTGCAGAGATGAGATTAAAAATCAGATAAAATACTTTACTCTGTATGTTAATAATGAATTGTGGGCAAACATTACCTGGTCCACGTTTCACTTTGTTGAGAATGGAAAACATTCAGTCAGACCGATCAGGTTTTCCTTGGTTCTGGAATGTTAAATACACAATGCCACCTCAATTTCTCCATAGGTAATTCTTCTTAGTTATTTAATTACACATAAAAAATTACTTTATATTCAGAATGGCACTTTCATTTATAAAAAGATCAATAGTCAATAGACATTACTATCTGATAAAAAGAGATAATAAAGAAGAAATACAGTCTTTTTGGTAATAGATCATGTGGCTCCAACAAATTAATAACAATAAATGGCATGATAATTGTGAATGGCTAAGAGTCACTATTTCTATTTTTAACAGCCTCATAGAAGATGCACTCAGAGCGAAATAAGATTTGAAGCTACTATATATTTTTATATTTTTCTCCTACAAAAATTAAATTTTATTGCTCTTTATTTATTTAATTAATTAACTGGGATGTGCAGATGAAATTAAGGATCATCTGCACATCCAAGTCCTAACAAGCATGTCTTCTGTTCATTTATGCTTTATTATTATGATGCTTTTCATCTAAACTGTAAAATAATGCAGTTTTTATTTATTTTTTCCACACTGGAC